ATGACAATGGCTTTGCCACGGCAGTTACTAAAGTCAGACCCTGGGTTTGTCTTGGCCTGACCTGTTTCCATTTTCATTTGAAAAATTGAATTTGGATAGACTTCAGCCTGACTGGTCTGCTCCCTGGACCTCGGCCGGCTAGCTCTGAGTAACTGCAGACAGGGTGGGGTCACCGGGGTTGGGCTGTTGGATATTTTACCCCCCTCCTGTGGTTTTGGGCAGCCTGCTCGGTGACGGGCAGCGGCATTAAGACTGGACTTTGCCGGAGGGCATTTGGGTCACTCTGGGTGTTGCTGGAAAGGCCTGCTCTCAGACACACCGGGTCATCAGCTGTTTAGGGGCTGCCTTTTTTTGGACCAGTAACCTCTCAGCCATTCCAAGTCTGGGTGACCACCAGCTCCAATGACTGTTGCTCTGTGGTGTGGGGTTGCCCCTTCCATCCAAGCAAAGGCCTGGTGGCTCAGATGGTCAAGAATCTGCCTGCAATGCTGGAGACCCGGGTTTGATCCCTGGGCCGGGAAGATCCCCTGGAGAAGAGAATGTCAATCCACTCCAGTATTCCTGCCTGGAGAATCCCATGGACACAGGAGCTTGGTGGGCTACAGTCCATGGGGTTGCAAAGAGCCAGACACGACTGAGTGACTTTCACTTTTCCATCCGGAAGTCATGGACTTCTCCTTCGTGACTGTCTCTGTGCTTCCCTGGCCATAAGGCCCTTCTCCAGCCCCCTGACACCTCACTCACCAGAGCTCTGGGGAATGCAGAGGTGGGGAACCCCAGCCAGCCATGTCCCTGCCCCAACCATATTTCCTGCCAACCCCTCACCTTGAGGTATCTTCCCCTGGAGGGATTTCATCAGCAATGAATGTTGCTCAGTTGTGTCCAGCTCTTTGTGACCCCATGGACTATATAGTTCATGGAATTCTCCAGGCCAGAATACTGGAGTGGGTAGCATATCCCTTCTCCAGGGGATCTTCCCAACCCAGGGGTCAAACCCAGGTCTCCCACATTGCAGGAGGATTCTTTACCAGCTGAGCTACCAGGGAAGCCCAAGAATACTGGAGTGGGTAGCCTGTCCCTTCTCCAGCAGATTTTCCCAACCCAGGAATTGAACCAGGGTCTCCTGCATTGCAGGTGGATTCTTTACCAACTGAGCTGTCAGGGAAACCCAGAGCTACCCTCAAACACCTTCCCCAAAGTGGGCTGACTGGGGGTTCATCCCTTCACGACCGCTCCAGATGGTTCCCTCTGCCTATGACACCAGGCTAGGTTGAACACTGAAAATTCTGTGAATCTAACATTTCAATGAGGTGACTTCCCTGCTGGTCCAGTGATTAAGAATCTGCCTTCCAAAGCAGGAGATGCAAGCTTGATCAATCCCTGGTTGGGGGCCTAAGATCCCACATGCCTAGGGATGACTAAGACTCCAGAGCCTAGGTGCAGCAATCAGAGAGAAGCCCTGGAGCCACAGCGAAAGAGCTCGCTCGCATGCCTTAACTAAGACCTGATGCAGCCAAATAAATAAATATTAAAAAAAAAGCCACTTGAATAAGAGTGTTTAGCTTGGGGCACAAAGTTGTGCATACGTGTTGGGGGCTTTTTATTGTTTTTTTCTTCCTTTCTTTTCCTTTTCCATTATGGTTTATCACAGGCTGTTGAATATTGTTCCCCGTGCTGTATGTAGGACCTTGTTGTTTATCCATCCTATATACAATAGTTTACATCTATGAATCCCAAACTCCTAGTCTTTCCCCACCCCACCCCCCCACTGCCCCTTCCTCTTGGCAACCACCAGTCTGTTCTCTGTGTCGTGAGTGAGTATGTTTCTGTTTTGTAGATAGGTTCATTTGTGTCATATTTTAGATTCTACATATAAGTGATATCATACGGTATTTGTCTTTCTCTTTCTGACTTACTTCACTTAGTATGATAATCTCTAGTTGCATCCATGTTGCTGCAAGTGGATAGGTATTGGACGGATAGATAGTGGATGTTTTGTTCTTTTTATGGCTGAGCAGTATTCCGTTGTGTATACGTCCCACATCTTCTTTATCCATTCATCTGCTGATGGACATTTAGGTGGCTTCCACGTCTTGGCTGTTGTGAACAGTGTTGCTGTGAACATAGAGGGTCATGTATCTTTTAGAATTATAGTTTTGTCTGGATATATACCCAGAAGTGGGACTGCTGGATCATACAGCAATTCTATTTTTAGCTTTCTGAGGAACTTTCATACTGTTTTCCACAGCGGCTGCACCAACTTACATTCCCACCAACAGTGTAGGAGGGTTCCCTTTGCTCCACACTCTCTCCAGCATTTGTTACTTGTAAACTTTTTAATGTCTGACCAGTGTGGGATGATACCTCACGTCATTCTGATTTTCATTTCTCTAATAATTAGTGATGAGCATCTTTTCATGTGCCTACAGGCCATCTGTTTGAGCAAGCTCTGGGAGTTGGTGATGGACAAGGAAGCCTGGCTTGCTACAGTCCATGGGGTTGCAAAGAGCAGGACCTGACCTACTGACTGAACTGAACTGAACTGGCCATCTGTCTGTCTTCTTTGGAGATACGTCTATTATGGTCTTCTGCCCATTTTTCAATTGGGTTGTTGTTTTTTGATGTTGTTGATGAGTTGTATGAGCTGTTGTTATATTTTGGAGATTGCATCCCAGCCCTTGTCAGTTGCATCATTTGCAAATATTTGCTCCCATTGGGTAGGTTGTCTTTTTGTTTGTTTTTGCTTTTAATGATTTCCTTGCTGTGCAAAAGGGGACTTTCTATTTATTTAAAAATTTTTATCTAGGGCAAGAAGCCCTTAGACATACCAACCCAGAGTCCTGAATGATGAGAAGCTAGACAGCCTTCAGACCATACAGAGACTGAAGACTTCCAGGACTAAACCAGTCAATGGTTTTCTAGTGGACTGAGCTGCCAGCAGCCCCCTGAGGTGAGTGGGTTATGATCCGTGCTGGAGGGGGCAGTTCCAAAGCCCCCACACTATACACCTTGTCAGTGATGTGGGAATGATGCCATGCTGGGCCGTTGGCATCAGATGCAAACAGAGTTAATAGCTCTGCAAAAAGTCACCAGACAGTTTAGCCCATTGGCACCAAGCCTAGAATTACAAGCAGTTCCTGACTTCTTCAAAGTCCTCTTGCTTTGGATTTTCCAAATCGAAAATAAATACTGAGGGCAGTTACCATCCCTTGGCCCACTCATGTGTGAAGGATCTGTAAGTTCAAGAAACCTCTCATTTCGTTCCATGTTGGCCCGTGGAACTTGTTAACTTAGTATCAACACAGTTCTTCCAGATTTTGAATAAAAAGAGAGAGCATGCACTGGGCTCTGGGTTAATATTTTCCTGTCTTAAAGAAGACTTGGGCATGCCGATATTTCTTCTCAGAGGAAAACAGCTGTTTGGTCTTCCGTTCTGGATGCCCTGTGTTCCACTCGCCCGCTATCCTCAGAGCATCCTCGAGGGGGCAGCAAACCACAACGGTCCGGCCGCGTTTCCGGGGCCCTGGCAGCCCCTGAACCAGCAAGAGTCCATTTCAAGCTGGTCTGGGGTGGGGGGCGGGGGGATGGTTAGTGGATTACTGGTGGCCTTCTCAGGCATTTCTCAGGGCTTGACAGGAAAGCGCATCTCCTGGAGGGGAAAGCCAGAGCTCCCCTTGTCTCATTTTTAGAGCACGGCGAACATGACCAGACCTATTAATTACTTAATTGAGGTTCTGGGGCTTTGAAGATGAAAAAGCTGTGTAAGTGGCGAGTTCTGCTGTCTCCAGCCTGGGGAGCGCTTTCAAGTTACCAGCTTCACTCCGGTGACCTTCTCCGGTGACACGGACCACCTGCCCCAGACCCTGTGGGTCAAGGAAGTGCCTCCCGGGTGAAGCCACTTGCAAACACTTCCTTGAGCTCAGAGCCACACAGCAGGCTGCCCACGGAGTCCCAGCAAAGGGCTTAGTCACACTCTGCCCTGCGGGGAGCTCGCGGCCCCCAGGGGTGGCTGAGAAGCTGCAGGGGGTGCTGGCTGCTGGCTGACTCTTTGCTGGGCTGGAGCCCCGGTGACTGTGGCCCTGCCTCCAGGCGCTGGGACCAGCTCGGCCTGAGGCCAGCCACCAGGGGGAGGAGGGTGGGGGGAGGAGGGAGGAGGGGGACCAGGGCGTCACCTGCAGAGGTGCAACCAAGACACAGGTAACCATGGAACCCCTCGAACGTGGAGCTGATGCTTAGTTTACAAAGAACTTTCTCGGCCGGCCTTATCTCGTGGGAGTCAGGGGAAGATTCTGGGAAGGCTTTGTGAAGTTGAGGATGTGCGTGGGAGGAGCCCAGAGGAGCGGAAGGAGCAGAGATGCTGGTGGGAGGGGAGGCCGACGTGCAGAATCTCTTCTTTTGAAAGCCCTGCTACCCTCCCCCCTCCCCCACTTCCCCTTTCCAGTTAGATGGGACCACTGATGTGGTTAGAAAGGTGAAACCCTGCTTCTAAGAGATGCCTAGAATAGTCAAATTCATAGAGTCAGAAAGTACATTGGTAGATGGCTCCAGGCTGGGACTGGGGGTGGGGGGTTAGGAGTGGAGGGGGAATGGGGACGTAGTGTTTAATGGGGACAGAGTTTCAGTTGAGGAAGGAGATGCTGAGGGTTGCACAACAGTGTGAACGTACTTCGTGACACTGAAATGTACAGTTAAGTATGACTTAAATAGTATGTTTTGTATTATGTGACTTTTATCAAAATACAAAAAAAAAAAAAAAAGTGAAATCCTAAAGGCAACTAACTATCCCCAATCTCTGACCTCAGCTAAGATGGGAGCCTTCGTGGGAACAGAATTAAAATTAATCCCGGTAAAGTGGGGCATCTGACGCACGCTGCGGCTCTTAGTAAAGTAATTCTTGTGCATGTTGTAAATAGTCCTCCTTTGTGTCCACACTGAAGAAACTAAAATGTCCAGAATCACTGCCCAGGACTGGAGGGGAAAGAAGCCCCCGGCTCCCAGGCATGGTCCTCCACCTGCGGGGCGAGCGTGTTTTCTTCCCTAGCGGGGGTGTCCTCGTTTTCTTCCGCAGTGCAGGTGGCCTTTCATTGCAGCCCAGGGCCTCGCACGGCACGGCTTCACTTAATTTTGGGGGAGCCTTAACTTGGCTGGATCACGGCGGCCTCAAGGGCAAGACCTGGAGCTGCTTTTACTCTGAAAGTGCGGGAAGCACGCAGCACAGGTTCGCCTACCCGGGTCTTCCACACATGCGTGCTGTGGGTGCAGAGGTGCCCCCGGGGGGCGGGGAGGGGACACCAGAGGAGAAAGGCCCGTTCATCAACGCATCCCTGTGGTCCATGAGGTCCTTGGATCACAGACGTGGCTCCTGGCTTATCAGCTTAATAAAAGTGTAATTAAAACTGGGGATGTGCTGGAGGGAGACTGGGGTGTCACAGCTCAGAGGGTGTATTAGCCGGCTAAGTTGCCCCTTCCTTGTCCAACTGTCTCTTCCCAAGAGAGCATAGTGATGCCACTGACACAGCCCCTGCAACTTTGCTGTCTGGGTCTTGTTGGCTGAATCTCCAACTCCCAGGAGTCTTGATCTGCTTTGATCAGTGGAGCGTGGCTAGTGGGTCAGTGTGTGTGTGTGTGTGTGTGTGTGTGTGTGTGTGTGTGTAGAGGGGAGCACATGTGTGTAGGCGTGTGGGTATATGTGTGCATGTGTGGGACCTTAAGGAACCAGTAGCTTCTCAAGGTTGTGTATTTAATATAATATATTTTCATGCATTATTTTGTGTGAAACCCCGCCATAACCCTACTGGGGTGGGGAGTGGGAAGGACCATTTTTTTCATATGGAACATTAAACTCAGCATGAAAGCGCACTGATCTCTAGAATTTACTTCTTTTAATTCTGTTCATATTTCCTACCAGATAGCATATTTTCTTTAGGGGTTATCAAGTTTTCTGCTGATAGAAAGTTTAGAAAGCAGAGAAAAGTACCAAGAACAAAATTGCTCATAATCTCATAAGGTCTTAATTACCTGGATAACCATGATGGTGTGGTCACTCACATAGAACCAGAAATCCTGGGCCTTAGGAAGCATTACTATGGGCAAAGTTAGTGGAGGTGATGGAATTCCAGCTGAGCTATTTCAAATCCAAAAAGATGATGCTGTGAAAGTGCTGCACTCATGTCAGCAAATTTGGAAAACTCAGCAGTGGCCACAGGACTGGAAAAGGTCAGTTTTCATTCCAATTGCAAAGAAAGTGGTGGGAATGCCAGACCACCTTGCTTGTCTTCTGAGAAAACGGTATGTAGGTCAAGAAGCAACAGTCAGAACTGGACATGGAACAACTGACTAGTTCAAAATTGGGAAAGGAGTACATCAAGGCTGTATATTGTTGCCTGCTTATTTAACTTATATGCAGAATACATCACAAGAAATGCTGGGCAGGATGAATCACAATGCGGAATCAAGATTGCCAGGAGAAATATCAACAACCTCAGATATGCAGATGATACCACCTTTATGGCAGAAAGTGAAGAGGAACTAAAGAGCCTCTTGATGAAAGTGAAAGAGGAGAGTGAAAAAACTGGCTTAAAACTCAAAATTCAAAAAAGCTAAGACCATGGCATCCAGTCCCATCACTTCATGGCAAATAGAGGGGAAAAAAGTGGAAGTAGTGACAGATTCTTCTTTGCTTGGGCTTCAAAATCACTGAGGACAGTGATTGCAGACATGAAATTAAAAGACGCCCCTTGGAAGAAACACCATGACAAACTTAGTGTTTTAAAAATTAGAGACATCACTTTACTGACAAATATCCATATAGTCACAGAGAAGGCAATGGCACCCCACTCCAGTACTCCTGCCTGGAAAATCCCATGGATGGAAGAGCCTGGTAGGCTGCAGTCCATGGGGTTGCTAAGAGTCGGACACGATTGAGCAACTTCACTTTCACTTTTCACTTTCATGCATTGGAGAAGGAAATGACAACCCACTCCAGTGTTCTTGCCTGGAGAATCGCAGGGACGGGGGAGCCTGGTGGGCTACCGTCTGTGGGGTCGCACAGAGTCGGACACGACTGAAGCGACTTAGCAGCAGCAGCATCCATATAGTCAAAGCTATGGTTTTTCGAGTAGTCATGTACTGATGTGAGATTTGGACCATAAAGAAGGCCAAGTGCTAAAGAATTGATGCTTTCAAAATTGTGGTGCTGGAGAAGCTCTTGAGAGTCCCTTGGACTGCAAGGACATCAAACTAGTCAATCCTATAGGAAATCAACCCTGAATATTCTTTGGAAGGACTGATGCTGAAGCTCCAATACTTTGGCCACCTGATGTGAAGAGCTGACTCATTAGAAAAGACCCTGATGATGGGAAAGATTAAGGGCAAGAAGAAAAGGGATTGACAGAGGATGAGATGGTTGGATGGCATCCTTGACTCAATGGACATGAGTTTGAGCAAACTCCAGGAGACAGTGAAGGACAGGGAAGCCTGGCATGCTGCAGTCCATGGGGTTGCAAAGAATCAGACACAACTTAGCAACTGAACAACAGAAACAATGACAACAGTGATCCTATCATTCACAGAGAACAATTGTCTCCTTTGGTAGATACCACATATAACATGTATAATAAAAATATACATGTATTATAATGTGTATGCATATAGTGAGCACATTTTTTGGTGATCTTTCTCATTTGCTGAATTTCCCATTCCATTAAATAGCCCATTTCATTATTTTAAGTGGCTGTAACTATCACATTCATCTAGTTAATTTACTTCTCCATTTTTGGACATTAAGGTGCTTCCAATTCTTTCATATTATAAGCAATGAAGTGATAAACATCATTGAAGAAGCTTCTTTGTACACCAGTCTGATTATTTCCTTAGGATAAATTTCTGTGAGTACAAATGCCGGGTTAAGGATATTTTTAAGGTGTTTTGATAAGTAGGATCAAATGCCCTCCTGAAGTGTTGTACCAAGTCCTCCCCTCTGTGCTAAATAAGATAGTGACTCTGAGTATTATTCATTTGCAAAATAGTTTCCTATTTTACAGGTGTGTGTTCAGTCACTCAGTCCTGTCTGACTCTGTGACCCCGTGGACTGTAGCCCACCAGGCTCCTCTGTCCATGGGATTATCCTGGCAAGAATAGTAAAGTGGGTTGCCATTTCCCTCTCCAGGGGATCTTCTCAATCCAGGGATTAAACCCGTGTCTCCTGCAGCTCTTGCATTGGCAGGTGGGTTCTTTACTACTGTACCACTGAGCCATTTTACAGGAGACAGTGACATTTCATTGTCTTTTTTAATATTTTATAAATAATTATTATTGAGGTGTGACATGTAAATGCACACATCTTAAGAGGACAATGCAATGAATTTTTATGTATAGAAATGTCCATGTTTCCACTGTCCAGATCAGGGTGTAGACATTTCCACCACTCGAGGAGGCCCTCTGTGCTCCCCCCCAGATAACTCTCACCTCAATCCCACCCCACCTCACCCCTGGCTAGAAGATAACCACTAGTCTGCCTTTTCCACTTTAGAACAGTGTGTCTGTTTGTGACCCTCATATAAATTGAAATATAAGTAACTACCCTGTCCCTGAAACTCACCCATGTCGATTTCTGCACCTGGAGCTTGCTTGTTCTCACTACTGAGTCTATTCCATTATATGAATAAACCACACTTTACCTATCCATTTCTCAGTGGAAGTACATTTCAGTTGTTTTCAGTTTTGACCTACAATGAGTAAATCTCATTCTTTTTTTTTCCTTAAAAAAGTTTTATTGATATATAATTGACATAAAATAAACCACATATTTAAAATGCAAGATCTGATAAATTTTGAAATACGTACACACACTCATGAAACCATCTCTACAATCAAGATGGGGACCGTATCTACCATCCTTGGAGATTTCCTTCTGATACTTTGCATTCCCTTGCCTTCCCATTTTTATTACTATTATAGTTGACCCTTGAACAACACATGTTTGAACTGTGGAGGTCCACTTATAGGAGGATTTTTTTTCAGTAAATGCATACTGAGAGTACTTCATGATTGACAGTTAGCTAAACCTGAGGATGCAGAACTTTGGATAACCAAGGTCGGATTGTTAATATGATACTCAACTGTGTAGGGGGGTTGGCACCCCTAAACTTTGAGTTGTTCAAGGATCAGCTGTACCTTGTCTTTTCTAGAAGTTTATAGATCATACAGTATGGATTCTTAGTGATCTGGCTTCTTTGACTCTGCCGTGAACATTCTTATTATAATGTCTTTTGAACCTAAGCACTCACATCCCTCGAGTATATGCCCAGGAGTGAAATGTCAAGTCAGACAGCATTCATATATTTAGTTTTAGTAGATCCAAAGATTTCTAGGTGGTTATATCAATTTAGTTTCCCACCAGACATGAGTGAGAGTTCCAGTTGTTCCACATCCTTGCCAACACGGAATATTTTTGTCCTTTTAATTTCAGGAATTCTGGTTTAATCTATATTTTTATTATTAGAGATGAAGTTGATTTTTTTGGTGTGTGTATATTGATGATTCAGATTTCTTGCTTTTTGAATTGCTTGTTCAAAAAGACTTCTACCCTTCTTTTGTATTGGAGAGATTGTTTCTTACTGATTTTGAGTCCTTTGTTTATTATTATTCATATTATTGTCACACTTGGTAGTATATGTTGCCAAGAGATATATGCTTTTGTTTAAATAAAATGGGGTTGAAAGCAAACAAGTATTGAAGCCTTACTATGGACCAGGCACTGCTCTCAGAGTTTTATAAATAATCTAATCAATCCTTATGGTTTCCCTGATGGTGCAACTGGTAAAAAAAATCTGCCTGCAATGTAGGAGATACAGGAGACTTGGGTTCAATCCCTGGGTCAGAAAGATCCCCTGGAGGAGGAAATGGCAACCTACTCCAGTATTCTTGCGTGGAAAATCCCATGGGCAGAGGAGCCTAGTGGGCTACAGTCCAAAGGGTAGCAAAGAGTCAGATGCGACTGAGCCTACTTGTACATATCAATCCTTATAGTTTATAGAAGAATGAAAGACACAGCAAGGTTAAAGAACTTGCCTAAAATCATACTGTGAATAATCATTGGGGTAGGATTCATAATACACCATTGCCCACCAGATCACGATAGTCTACCATCTCATGAGTTTTCAACTGGAGCACTGATTGTCAAAATTCCTGGCAGGAACTGTGGAGTCTTCTTTTATAATCGTCTTGGAGTGATGATTTAATTCCATGATGTGACTGATTGTGTTTTATTGTGTTTGTGTGCTCATCCTCATTCACGTTGGAAGAGACGTAGTGTGATCAGGATTTCTGATGCCATTGGGCAATAAGCAGCTGAGATCCATTAGTCTGGGACCCCGTCTCCCCCACCCTG